TGGTGATCATCAAATCTTGAAGAGAAAAGAGAATTTTTATACTTCTTTTTTATTAGTTGAATGATTCCAAGAACTAATTTTTTTCTGTAGAGGCAACACCCAAATGGTAATGAAACTCATGGGGATTTCAGGGCTTACTTTGTATCATCTGACGAGCCATCTTCAAGTAAAAATCATTAGTTTTCTGATTAGGGGTTTTTCTAGTTTCTCATTTGGGAATTTTCGCAGGTTTTGATTTGTCTCGCAGTGGTGAAAATGTTGGGCGAACTCGATTGGGTTCCTACAATTTGCAGGTCTGTCTACGGTGGCTGCCATGGAAGCGTGATTTAGTTACCGGAGAAGATGAAGGATGACATTCCACGAGCAATGTTTGGTGTTGGCAGTACTTGTTTTACCCTTCCATGTGTTCTATGAAATGAGATGACCACTTTGCACTTATTTAAATTTTGTTTTCCCTTCTTACACTATATTTTTTAATTCAAAAACTAAAAAAAATACACTTCACACACGTTTTTAATATCACATCATTTAAAAAGACACTCTCAGCATATTCGAACAAAATTAGTGTTTCTATCTTTACTTATCTTTTACTACGATAATATGTAACTATTAAATGTTCATATCATCTAGTAAAATATAAGTAAAGAGACGCAACTGTCAACATCCAATTTTATCTGGATACTTTATAATATTATAAAACAATAAAAAAATATGAAAAAAAATTAGAAAATGTAAATATTTCTTCCGTTTTTACCATGTTTATTTTATTTAATTTCATTAGGTTTTATTTTGTTTTAGTCGATGACTATGTTTGAGTTGATTTTACTTGATGTGATTTTATTCTATTTTTGTTTGATCTATATGATTTTACTTTATTTATTTTGATTTTATGTGATTTTTATTTCGTTATTAGATTTAACTTTATTTGATTTTTATTTAATGTGATGTTGTTTAATTTGGCTAATTTTATTTGATTTTATTTGTTTTCATTTTATGTGATCTTATTTTATGAGATATCATTTTAAGGGATTTTTATTTTATTTTTATATTTTTCGTTTTATTTATGGAATTATTTGATTTAGTTTTTATTTCATTTATTTTGATTTAATTTGGTAGTACGTGATTTTATTTGATTTGATGTGATTTTATTTTAGATTGATTTTATTTTAGATTTATTTTGATTGATTTGGTTTTGTTTTATTTTATCTTATTTTATCTTATTGTATTTTATTTTATCTTCATTTCTTTTGTGATTTGGTTTATTTTTACTGTGTTTCATTTTTGTTTATTTTATTTTAGTTTGTTTTGTAATTGGTTGTGAAAAGATTTGATCATGTTTACTTTATTTTATTTAATTTCATTTGATTTGGTTTTGTTTTTGTTTTAGTCAATAATTAAGATTGAATTTATTTTACTTGATTGGATTTATTTTAGATAATTCTATTTTATTTTGTTTGATCTTATTTAATTTAATTTTATGTTATTTGATTGGATGTTATTTTATGTGATTTGTGTAACGTCCCAGATTATATAGAAATATATAATATAGTAGGTCCACATTTTAATATAAGAGAACAGTTAGAGTAGACTTGCAGATAAGTTATTAAGATTACAGTCATCCAAAAGAAGCCATGATTTAAAACTAAACACCTTAACAGAGTATTTCAAAATGATAGTACTTAATTAAGAAACTTCTAAACAACTAAGTTTCTGCATAATCTCCCTCCAAAGCCTGCTCTAGAGGCACCTCATCCACCTCTGCTCACACTCAAGTGGATGATCATTGCAAAAGAAAAGCATACCCAAGCGAAACACAAACACAAAAGCAAGGGTGGACTAGGTATACAAATATCATGTTATAACAATCATACACAATATGCAATTAAAGACAGATATACTAGACTACACAAACATAACTTGTTGCACTTGACACTTGACTCGTCCGGACTTAGAATGATTGTCGAGCTATGGCAGGTTATGCACTTGTGGTGGCCTCTACTGCTTTGCAAAGCCATTGCCAACGAGTTTCACCATACCACACTCACGAGGTTAGTATGTTATCACTCACCTTGGGCCATACTGACAGCACCCAAGAGTAAGACCTCCTGCTACTCCTCACCACATGGATCAATCCTCTCTACTTGAGAATGAAAGACCATTGGAGCATTAGGAAAACCCCCAAGACTAAGCTACCATGCAAATCATTCTAAACACTAAGGGCACCACCATGAATCTTCTCCTTGAAGATCATGGAATTACATCCAATAACATAGGGCACCACCATGTAACCTCCCTTTGAGATCCATGGAATTACGTCCAATAACATAAGGCACCACCATGTGACCTCCCTTTGAGATCCATGAAATTACGTCCATCAACCATACTGTTACTTTGCAACTTAACTCAAGACATGAACAACCAAATACCATAATATTATCACATTGAATCCAAACATATAACCTCACTGATCATACAATATCATAGATACTTTTACACCATTCTAATAATCAAAACATAGTTCAAAGTTATCATAAAACAGGAATAAAAAGAATAAAAATAGGTTCTGGGCAAGTCGCTCAACGCACCAAACTCGCTGTGTGAATAACAAAAATAGTGGATTTTACTCACTCACATTCGCTCAACGCACCAAGTCTGTGCGCTATGCTAAATTCCATTCGCACAGCGCACCAAGTATGTGCGCTATGCTAAACTGAAAATTCTGCTACACATTATCAGACCCTAAACCCTCGCATAATGCCCCAAATTCGTTATTCGAATCACACTAGCATTTTCCAGACAACCACTAGTCGCACAGCGCCCAGATTCGCTATGCGAATCACCAAACAAAGAGAAACCATCTCTAGCCATTCGCACAGCGCACCAACTCGTTGTGCGAATGCCCTGACAGAGAACATCTCGCCAGGGTGACTCGCTGTGCGAAACAGTTCGCTCAGCGAGTCTGCATAATCTGCAGAACGCAAATTCTGCAGAATTATGCAACTCACACACTCTCTTACCATTTCTAGGCCTTTTCTCCAATTTCTAACACCCCTAATTCATGTTTTACACCTAATTAAACTTGTCTAGATGTTCCTAAACCATCATAATACAATTTTAAGGTGATTACAACTCAACTCTTACTCCTCAACTTCAATTATCATCACTTGAGGATCCCAAACCCAATTTTAACACTTTGCACCTATTTGGACCACTTTAGTGACTCAAACAAGTCACAATACACTTGCTGAAACTTCCCGAATAGCCCAAATACACTTTGGACATCCAAAGCTCAAAATTACTATCTCACTTCCTTTTAACAGTTTCAAAACACTAATATTTCACTATGCTTCTGCCAAAACCAGGTTACAACAACCTTCTACTCAAAATACTTCTAACATGAACCATTCCAACAGTCAAACGCATCCAATACAGTTTATTAACATCAACTCACAGATTGACAAATTCAACACTTCAACACATGCAATACATATCATTCCATCTACTCAAAACTTAACATCCAAACCAAGCAGCAAAAATAATACATAACTCAGTATATACACATACATGCAACTAATTATAAAGAAGTATTTCTACCTCCCCTTACCTTAGAGTTGAGTAGCCCAGCTCAAAAAAACGACTCAACAGTGTCGGACTCAGCAAGAACCTAGACAAAACCCTACAACCACCACATTGGTGACGAAAACGACTCTTACAGCTCAAGATTTAGCAAAGGGAGAACACAAGATACATGCAACCAGTAGAACTGTATGTTCTAGGTTTTAAAATAGCAGAGGAAAATGGAGAACTACTTACCGGTCCGAATGAAAGAATTAATCGGTTCAAAATAAAGCCCTTTACGCTGTGGACGCTTGGACACCACCTAAACGGACATGCACTGAGTCAGTAAGTGTGGAGGTTAGAGAGAAACAAGAGAACTTGGAAGAACTTGAGATTTTAGAGAGATAGTGAAAATAGCAAATGAACGTTCAAAAATCTATCTTATACTAAAATAAAAATTTGATTCTATTAGCCTAATACACTAACCCATTCTTTTAAATCTCAAATTTTGGGTTCTCAGAGGATTAATGAAGAGTTAATTACAAGCAAATTAACATTATTTTATTTCAAATTATCTTTATTTCTATCACACTTAATGATTTTAAGTTATTTAAAAATTAAAGTATAAAGCAGTTTCAATATTATTTCTTTTTTCTATTTTCTAATATATGCCTTTTAAATATAAAACTGTAATAGAATTTTATTCTTCAAAACTGACAATACTTTAAATATAATATATAATGATAAACTCTAATTATTTTACTCGCAACCATCCTTATATTTATTTGGTTTTGTTGTTTATTTAAAGTTTCTCCATTGCAATACATGCTTATTTTTCTCCAACTATACAACTGTCGGTTACTTATTTGCTTATGAGCGTTTACTCAATTATTGTAAAAGCAAAACAAAACACAAAATAAAAAATTAATAAAACGATAAGATATTTACACAACAGTGCACATACGATGGCCCTCAGATATTTTGTTCTCATAGAAGTGCAAAAAGGTGTTAGCTGAACCCATTTTATTAAGAACCAAGAGTACTATACTTAAAGGCGTATTTCGTTCCATAAAAGTATAATGGAAAATCCTAAAAGTTAGACTTCAAAGTTTAACTCGAATTTACCATTTTAAAATTTTAATTTATAAGATGTAGTTTGCATTTATTCAAAACTGATATTATTTTCCACACGTTTTTCTTATGCTAAAATATATATATTTAGAGTCTACAACTAAATATTAGTAAATAAATCTATAACTAAAATAATATATCAATCAACAATAAATCTTATTATAATATATTCAAATTCATGAATCATGTTAAGAATATTAAAATATAAACTTTAAATTCAATTTAACTTGTAAATTTTATTAAGTGAACTTCCAACAGAAAAAAGAAGAAAAATTAAAATTTTGAAAGAAAAAAATGCTGAAAACAAGAGCCATCCAACTAGGATCTCGAGAAAGTAGGGGTTTTGGTGGTTTCCATGAATCTTCGTACAAAATAAGAAAAATTGCAGAAAAATAACTCATTTCTGCAACAAATTTTCACATAGAATTGATCAGATCAACGAGAGCGTTTAATTTTTTTTACTAAAGGAGAAGTAATCGATGGAACTTTATAGGCTGCGGAATCAGAATTATGAATCCAATCTGAGTATCCTTCACCGGCTTTAGCTTTTGGCATTTCAGGATAAACATTCGAAGCAGTGTTAAATTGAGTTTGCAGTGGGATGGAGCACATGCTAACTTGAACATCTTCATTCGGAAACTCATAATCCTGAATGAAACAAAAATAAACACTTAATTAAAGTTAACCGTAATTAATGAGTATTATTAATTAAATTGCAACTAAATATGATACCTTAGAGAAAGCATTTGATGCAGCAAACGAAGCATCTAAAAGGTCTTCCATGCAGTAACCGGGAATGGTCTGAATCAAGTACTCGGATAAGCTACTTGTTGAAACCGAATTCGAGTTATAAACTGTGCGAGAAGAACCAAAAGGATCGATGTTTTCGTTCGAGGTTGATGAGGTTGAGGTTGTTTTTTCTTCAAGCGTTATTCCAGTGAGAACCGAACTCGAGTTATTAAGTGTGCGAGAAGAAGCAAAAGAATCAATGTTCTCGTTCGAGAGTGAAGTTTGTGCGGGGTTTGAGGTTGACGAGGTTGAGGTTGTTCTGGTTTTTTCTTCAAGCGTTATTCCAGTGAAAAGAAACCTGTCGTGCGTCTTGGTATGTTCGTTGACATCATGGATGGAAACATCACATTGTCTGCAAAGGAGAGCTCTGTCTTGTCTGCAGAAGACATAGGCGCGCTTCTCCTGCCAAAGAATTTAAATAACGTGAGATGTTTTATGCTGTATGTCTTCTCTGCAGATTTGATTCTTGATCAATATGGGACTAGTTTAAAGCTTAAAAACACAGTGACAGAGAAGGGAAAGAAAAAAGGAGGTACATGACAGATATCACAGAGAGTGGCGGCTATGGAGGTGGGGTGGCCGAGNCTCCCTTTGAGATCCATGGAATTACGTCCATCAACCATACTGTCACTTTGAAACTTAACTCAAGACATGAACAACCAAATACCATAATATTATCACATTGAATCCAAACATATAACCTCACTGATCATACAATATCATAGATACTTTTACACCATTCTAATAATCAAAACATAGTTCAAAGTTATCATAAAACAGGAATAAAAAGAATAAAAATAGGTTCTGGGCAAGTCGCTCAGCGCACCAAACTCGCTGTGCGAATAACAAAAACAATGGGTTTTACTCACTCACATTCGCTCAGCGCACCAAGCCTGTGCGCTATGCTAAACTTCATTCGCATAGCGCACCAAGTCTGTGCGCTATGCTAAACTAAAAATTCTGCTACACATTATTAGACCTTAAACCCTCGCATAACGCCCCAAATTTGCTATTCGAATTAAACTAGCGTTTTCCCAAGCAACCACCAGTCGCACAGCGACAGGATTCGCAAGGCGAAGCTCAAGACAGAGAGCAAGAACCTCCAATCATTTGCACAGCGCACCAGATTGCACAACGAATGACTCAAACAGAGAGCACCATCTACAGGGACTCGCTATGTGAGACAATTTGCATAACGACTCTGCATCATCTATAGAACGCAAATTCTACAGAATTATGCACTCACACACCCTCTTACCATTTCTAGGCCTTTTCTCCAATTTCTAACATCCCTAATTCATGTTTTACACCTAATTAAACTTGTCTAGATGTTCCTAAACCTAAACCCTCCTAATACAATTTTAAGGTGATTACAACTCAACTTTTACTCCTCAACATCAATTATCACCACTTGAGGATCCCAAACCCAATTTGAACACTTTGCACCTATTTGGACCACTTTAGTGACTCAAACAAGTCACAATACACTTGTTAAAACTGTCCCAATAGCCCAAATACACTCTGGACATCCAAAGCTCAAAATCACTATCTCACTTCCTTTCAACATTTTCAAAACACTAATATTTCACTATGCTTCTGCCAAAACTAGTTTACAACAACCTTCTACTCGAAATACTTCTAGCATGAACCATTCCAACAGTCAAACGCATCCAATACAGTTCATTAACATCACCTTACAGATTCGCAGATTCAACACTTCAGCACATGTGTCGCAACCGGAATCGCGACGGGACGACGATCCGAAAAAATAACGAAACAAGTTGTTGAAAAAGAGATTTTGGAGTCGCCACCATAGTTTATTTTGGAAAACTACGGAAAAACCGTAAAATGATAAGGCATGGTCTATTAGAACCAGATTCTTGGTTCGGGAGTCGGTTACGTGTAGGGAAGGTATTAGCACCCTACAACGCCTACCTTAAGGCAGTACCTTTAATTAAACGTGCAAAGTCGATGTGGTTTTCAAAATGATTATTATTCCCCGAATATAAGATTACAAGACGATGCAAAGAAAAATATATTTTTTTATTTTTTAGGAAGCCCGACAAGGATTGACCTTACTCCTACGTATTCTCATGTGAGAAATCAGGGGTACGTAGTTCTTTTAGAATTTTCTTGAAAAGTTTGTTTGGGAAATTGCTTGGAGATTTGTTTGGAAAATGATTTTGGATTTTTGGGAAAATGAACCTGACAAGGGCTAGCCCTGCTCCTACGTATCTCCACTTCTGATGGAGAATCAAGGATCACGTAGTTCTGGCAAGGCGATATTGATTGTTGTTTGAAATTGTTGATATTTTTTGGTTTTGAAGATTTTATGTTTTTTTTTTGTATTTTTTATGAAACAAGCAGAAAAGGTTTTTAACACAAGGACGATGCGTGCGATCACACATGTGCCTAAACCTTTGAAATATACTTTTATTTAAGAAAGAGAAAAGATTTTTAGCACAAGGACGATGCGTGCGATCACACATGTGCCCAAACCTTTAAAACATATTTTTGATATTTTTTTAGAATTTATGTATTTTATCTTTCTTCAATTTTTTTTTATTTTTATGATTTTTATGTAGAGCGAAACAAACAAGTTCAATGGATATAAATAAAATAAAAGGAGTGGGGAACTATCACACAAGGGGATTACTGCAATAAAAAACCAATGAAAAGAAAGAAAAAGCATAAAAATAAAACAAGAGAAAAGCTCAACAAGATTAGGGGTACAGAGATAAAAACTAGGGGTGCTGAGTGAAATTTAAGTTCCTTTGTTTGGGCCAATACTCTCTTCTTCAACTTGTATCTGTCAGGGTGTAAGGATGAAAAATGGGGGATGCATCCTGAAATGTATGTTAGGTCCAAATCCTTTTCACCCTCTTTTTTTGTTTGCACAGAGTGGGCTTAAGCCCAAATAAAAGGGGGTGTGAATATGAGTTGCGCCTCAACAGAAAGAAAGGTGGCAGACCACGCTAGGCCCAAAGCCCCTTTGTTCAGAAACCCATTAGGGGTTCAAATGAATCTTCCATTTTTGCCATTAACGTCCAAAACTCAGGGTCTCTTTCTTCTTCCCTTCCACTGAAATCAAACACTGCAAGTTGAGGCCCAAGGTGTTGCGAGCGCAGCTGTCCACCGTCAAGACCATCGTCGGCCGTCACTGAAGCTCTTTCCCTTTTCCTTTCTCGCGTGCGATTCTCTGGCACCAGCAATCCAGGGAGGGATTCGCCTCCGCCTCACGACCTTACTCGCGCCGGTGCAACTCCCAGCCACCGTCGATGAAAAGCTGGCCACTGTTGTCCTCGTCGGACTTCGGTTCCTGATTGGTGCCGCCAGCATCACTCTCCCTCTTCATCATCTTTTTTTTTCGTTTGATATTTTGTCTACTGGGAAACAGTAAGCCCGTGGTGTACGCATATGAGTGTGAGGGGCTGGATTTGTTATGTTCTGTGGGTTGATTGGATTATGAGAAAATGATGATTAAAGTTGAAAAATGGATTCGTTGGGTTGCTTCTTATATTTCTTGCAGGTTTGGTGTGGATAAACAAAAATGCCTGTGAAGTGATGGCAGTGAGGTATGATTGTTCTCGGGTGTTGGATATGATGAATGAAGAAGAAAAACGAAGATGGTGTGTGCTGCCGTGGTGTTGGAGATGAAGATGATGATATTGGAGATGGTGTTTTCTTGGAGAGGATTCAAAATCCTGATAAGATTAGATCTGAGGAAGAAACAGAAGGTAGTGTGAGGAAGTGTGTGAATATGGAGGATGGGTGTTTGGCCGTGTATGAATGATGATGGTCATGGGGTGAGGGGAGTCGAGACTGGATTATGGTTGAAGGTAGAGGTGTTGGAGATCCAGTTCCATGCCCTTAAATTGGCAGAAGATTGAGAATTATCGGCAGCTCTGATTGGAGTTCGTCTGTCGGCATCTTTGATTGGGGGACCGTTGGAATAATTTGGTAGACATAATTGGAGGGTTGGTGAAATGGAAAAATTTGTTAACTGTCTACATCCGATGACGTCAGACGGCCCAACTCTTTTTTTTTTAGTTTTTTTTTATTAAAAATAAAGTAAAAGCATATACGAACGTCTCATCCTACTAGGTCGAACGTTTACTAATATGACCGAACGCTACGTTGACAAATATTTAAGAACGAGCGCTAAACCTGCGAGACTGAAAAGTCGAACGTCCGTGAAGAGAGAAATGCCGAACGTCAACGAGACCGAATGGCTGAACAGTTGAGGATGAACAACCGAACGTCTCTGATACGAACGGTAGTTCAGTGTAGAGAAGGCGAACAGATGTGCACGACGAACGGTCGGTAGAGGGCGAACGGTCGCATATGGTAGAGGACGAACGGTATAAAGATAAGGAGAATAGGAAAGTACGGCAGAGGACGAACGGTAGACGAGCGGACGAGCGGTAGACAAGAGAGGACGAGCGGCAGAAAGTGGATAGCGAGCGGTAGAAGAGAGAGCGACCTGAACGAGCGGTAGTAGATGGAGGACGAGCGGTAGAAGAGGGGGAGTGAACTGGACGAACGGTCGAACAAGGCATAGGACGAACGATCAAATAGTGGAACGCATGAGTATAACCGAACGGTTGAGCATGAGCGTCCGAACGTCATTGAGGTCGAATGACCGAACGGTCGAGTAGGGCAAAGGACGAACGGTTGCGCAGGGCAAGGACGAACGGTCGCGCAGGGCAGCGGACGAACGGTAGCGCAGGGCGGATGACGAACGTTTTTTTTTCTTTTTTTTCTTTTTTTTTAATTTTACACTCATGAAGAAAACAACTCTATTAGTCAATCCGGACGAAATTGGGTGTTGACAACATGCAATACATATCATTCCATCTACTCAAAACTTAACATGTAAACCAAGCAGCAGAAATAATACATAACTCAGTATATACACATACATGCAACTAATTATAAAGAAGTATTTCTAGCTCTCCTTACCTCAAGATTTCACAGCTCAGCTCAAGGACTTGCCTCAACAGTACCTTGAGTTGTGAGGACTCAACAAAACCCTACAGAACACCACACACTACAAAAAAGAAGGGCATTATCGAAGGCCAGGAGCCCTCGGAAACAGCCCAAAGCTGTCGGTAGAAGGTATTTACAAACGGCTTATCGACGGCCAAAGAGCCCTCAGTAAATCCCTTGTCGCTAACATTTACCGAGGGCTTCCGCCCTTCGGTATTTACCGAGGGCCAGAAGCCTTTGGTAATTTCCGAAGGGCAAAAGTGTTCGGTAATTTTCGAAGGGCAGAAGCCTTCGGTTATTACCAAAGGGGTGAAGCCTTCAGTAAATACCTAACGTGGGTAGTTACCGAAGGGCAAAAGCCTTCGGTAAGTTGGAGGCAATTCTAAGGGACAATTGTATTTCTTATGAAACCAAACTGTTCAAAACACAAACAGACCTGCATAACAGTTTTCAAGCACATACAGCTCTACATAATGTGCATCTCAAAGATGCAATCATTGATCAAAATCCATAGAACATCCATTAATCCATACAACATGTGTTTATAGTTAAAACATAAAACAATGTAACATAATGATGTTTTAACATCCAAATCATCCAATTGATCTAACAT